TATCGTGTAATGTGACTATCCTTGCTGAAGAGTATATCTATTGCTAATTTTTTGTCACTGTTGTTGGAATAATAGGCTCATCTGTCATTGTAAATTTCTAAGTGTGTATAGCCTTATGTTAAATTTGCATTCTGATTAATTATTGCAAAATGTTTTTTATTACTTCCATCAGGTTGTATTGTACCAGCTTTTTTTTTTTTTTTTTTTTTTTAATAGGTACCAGAGGGTGGTACTGGAGACACAGGACGGGAAAGAACTAAGACATTTACCTATGATTTTTCCTATTTCTCAGCAGACAGTAAAAGTCCCAGCTTTGTTTGTCAAGAAATGGTAGGATTTATGAATGTTAATAATTTATTCTTTTCCTTTCCCTTTTCTTTGACTTGAAAGCATTCTTTGAAACGTCTTTGCGTTGAAAGTGCTTCTTATATAATTTAGAAATTCCCTAGGTACCTGAGAACTTGAATTTTATTTTGTTTTCTTTTGACTTACCTAACTGTGTTAAGTGCTGTGTTTTCTAATACAGCAGGCTAAATGCCTTCTTTCTAGTTCTCTTGTCTGATTTGTCTTGTAAGGTCAAGTTAGAAAACTTCTCTGAGTACTAAATTTGTTTTTGAAAAGCTTTTTTGAAAAAATAACTTCTGAGAAACATGCATGTATCTTTAATTCACTTAGACAGAAACATTCTTATCTGGTTGAAGCGGGCTTTTTTTGTCCAAAAGTCTTGGTGCACATTGAAGAAGATTATTCTTTCTCCTCCCTTGAGTATTCCGCTTAGGAAAGGACAAAACCACCTTTCTTCCTGCACACTCAGAACAGAAAATCAAATTAACAGATAGACCCTCCCTGACCTCGCATTTCATGTGAACATCGAACCTTTTTTGCTAGTTTACATTCCCAAATAAATTTTTTAAGTAAAATCCAAGTGTTTTCTGATTGCTACCTTCTCTTTTGGCTTTGTGGAACTTGGGCTGCTGTAAGTGCCAAGTGAGAATATTTATTTCCATTAAAATAATGCAACGGTTTGCCGAATATACTGTAAGCCAGTATATACCTTTTTGGTATGTACCTCATCTATTATGTAACCCCCAAAATCAGGGATATTGGTATGGCTAATCCTAAAAAGCCTTGGAATTAAAACTAATAATAAGAAACAAGTTGAAGCCAATTTTAAATATTTATGAGGAGGACAAGCTTTGACATTATATATAATGACTATAATTGTTTGATAGGGAATTTATACTTGAAATTTCTATGTAACCATCAGTGTAAGCAATAGGTCCTCTTCTGATCTGAAAGCTTCTTTATTCCACTGAGTTATTAGTTAGTATTTAATCCACACATTTGATCATGTATATTCCTAAACTTTCTGGAATGTTATTTCTTGATGATGTTCTTTTAAGCAGCACAGTTTATGCTACATTCTCTGAAATATCAAGAAGTATACATTTTTTTTTGTGCATTGATATAGAAATACCCTAATTGCTTTAGCACTGTGCCAAATTCAAGAAGTAGTGTATTTGAGCACAATGATTGGAACCCTAGTTCCTAGTGGATGTTTTTAAGCAGGCAGTTCAGGCCATATGGCTTTACCGGAACTTTAGCAAATGCTTTAAGCTGAGCATGCAGAGTCTTATTTATTTAACTAAAGCAGCTTTGATCGTGTATTTTTTTGCACCTATTCTAACTGGAGCTTGAGGTTTTTGGTTGTGGTTCTGCAGATACAACAAATGATTGCCTTAAGTTTGCTCATACAAATTGCCTAGGGTCTCAGTTTAGTATTATTTAGTTTCTCTAAAATGCATATAATTCTCAGGGATAACAGATTACCATATTCTCAGGTCTTCCTGATATAGATGAGTACATCTCCATAAAACAGTATTAATGATGTATCAATGTGTATTTGGAGAAGTCTGCAAAATGTACTATAAAAGTAGTTATAGAAATTCTTCTTAAGCACTGATTGTGGCTAAGGTTTATGGATATTTAATTCTTGGATCCTTTAGGTAGCTCTTTCTTTACCTGACTTCAGATACTTCCGAAAAGCTATGTTGGACAAGACCTCGTTAGAAGAATCCCAGGAAGAGAGTCCATTGTGTTGTTAGGCTGTTGCTGTTACAGTGCAGGTTTTTTCCAGAATCTGAACGTGCTGTGAAATAATGAAGTTAATTCTTGTTAAAACAGCCATTTTCAACTTGAATTAATATAAATGAATATGCAATTAGTGTCCTGTGTTGATGTCTGATTTCCACATATACGAGTTGAATAAAGTTTTAAGTTTTTCCTCATTGGTGCCATTTTGCCTCTGAGCGGGTCAGGTTGAGGCAAGATCAGTATAACTTGCCTGTGTCAGGAGCTTATAGGAAAAAAAAAATCATGTAGGGATTTCTGTAGGAGTCTTGAGCAATGCATTTTTTTTTAAAGCTGTGAGCTTCATGGTTCGTAGTGATGGGATGCTAACAATAAATCCTAAACATGGCTTAGATGTCCACATTCAATATTCTGCTCTTACAGTGTGTCCTACAACCCCAGACTGCCTCCTTCATCCTTACTGGCAAGAATGCTAGCATCTCTTGCCCAGCCACAAAAATACTGTTGTCCTTGTGTCAAGTGTTGTTTTAATTACAGTGTGCTGCTCACACTGAAAACAAAAGTTTTCAAACCATGGGAGTGCAATATCTAAACAAATGCTGCACAAGCTATTGGTTTGTTTGTGTTATTCATTTCATATTTAATTGGAAGACTTTTTAGTTAAGCTCTTATCAAGTTGCTGCAGAATTTCCAGTTTACTGCACCAGTAGCATAAAAGAAGAGATTCACATTCATCTTGCCATGGAACAAAATTGATCTTGATTGTTGGTAATGCGGTTGCCTAGTGCGCTTTGTTCATGTTTGTTATATTTTTCCTTTTGAAAGGCAGAAAAATAATAAATGGAGTCTGTCTAATACTACATGCCCCATTAATATGCCTTGTAGATGCAAAGTATGCTTTAGTATTCAAAGATTAGTATGGGAGTGGCAATTTATCATCAAGCTACTTAGTTTGTATACATGGAAGAGAAGCAAATAGAATTTTGATGAGTTTACTGCCCTTTTGTGACAAACCAGTGTCCCAGTTGTTTGGTTCTGACAAAGTCCCATTCTAATGATGTCGTCTTCTAACCTGTGCCTCTGTGTTCAGACAACACTGTCTGCAACTGTCTACCGTATGTACTACCTCAAATCACTGGCAAGGTATACACAAATTTTTAAAACAGAAAATGCAGTCAAAACAATAGTGCATAAAGACTTGGTCCAGATGGTGTGGTAAAAACTTGGACATAGAAAAAGGGAAAAGAGGGGAAAAAAAATAAAGGAGCTTGTTACTTGGGAAGGAGAATTCAACTAAGGTGCTCCTTTTCAAATGATAAGTGGAAGGCAAATTGTGCTTTGGCTGTTCTTTTATACTCTTCCTCCTTGAGAAGTATAACAGATTACAGCATTGTAACTCCTTTGCTCAAGGGAAGGTCAAGGTAAGTATTCCAAAGGCATGCTTGCAACTGAGCATTAATGATTAAAGAAATTACCCAGCACTCCTCCCTTGTAGCAGTGGCATGATTATACTATGTGTGTGCCATTTGCTATTAATAATGACTTGTACACCTTGCTTAATTTAAATCACGTATACTACAGACTAGTAGCCAAATTATGTGAAGCATCTATGAGATTTTTGAAAATCATGTTTGGATTGGGAGTCCCAGATTAATAGTTTCATTGAGAGAGAAGCTGCACCAATGGGCCAGTGGGGGTGTGGATGGAAATGAGAGATGATGGTAATGAAAGGTGAGAAATCTGGGAGGGATATTGGAGGTGGTACTACAGAGGAAGGTGATGAAGGCATCTTCTGAGACCAGAATGTATTAGGTGAGAACAGACCCTCATGTTTTAGAATGTAGAGGAGGGATCATTACCAGTTTCAGAGGTAAATGTTAAGGGCAAAAAAGAAGGAGCTAGCTGAGGAAAGAGGGTCACTCACCATATAGAAAACTTGTTTCCATGTTTGCCAGCCTAAAAAGTATTGGTATGTAAAAGCCAGTTAGGGAGAAAATAATGGTCCACTTCCTTAAACTTGGTTAAAGGAAAAAAACCCAAACCAAACAAAACCATCCAAATACACAAACCAAGGAACCGATAGGAATGCTGAAATGTTTCCTTTTGAGAAGGGGCTGGGTATTTGCAAAACGTGGAGAGTTGGCAAAGATACAAAAAGTGAGTAGACATTAACCATAAGGAAAAGTAAATGAAATATCTGAGATGAGCTGAAGGAAATTTGAGCTATAGAAAGAAGGGAGATTTTTTTTTTTTTTGTACTTCTGCATGTCAAGTAGATCTCTGATGGAAAAAGAAATAGAAAATGTACTATTGCAGTGCTGTAAACTAAATATGGTTTTAAAATTTAGTATTTTATTGGAAGTGCTAATCTCCTGTCCTATGGTAAATATCATTGGTTGATGCCAATAGCTTGTATTGTGGTAGTTTGTTGTTTATTATTTACCATGCTGGACTGATGACAACTTTTTTTCCCCAAGCTTCTGTTGTCTTATAAAACTCTCTGTTTTTAGGTTTTCAAAAATCTTGGTACAGATGTGCTTCAATCTGCTTTTGAAGGTTATAATGCTTGTGTTTTTGCATATGGACAGACTGGATCTGGGAAGTCATACACCATGATGGGAAACACGGTATGTTGTATTTTGCAAATGTGCATTTTTATTCTGTAGCAATGCATTGAAATTATGCTATTGCAAGAAAATGTTTTTATAGAATTATTATTGCTGATCTGTGTGTATGCTACTGACCCCCCATGTTTCGTTCCTTCTAGTAGTAATCAGAGGTTTTAGAAGCTGTTTCTTTTTTAGGTAGATGTTTACAGTTGGAAGAAGTGTCTTTAAGTGATACTCTGTTATGTTGGATAAAAAGCAATAATTTTTCTTCAGTGACAAAAGCAAAAGTTTCAAATGTTACCGCTGATTTTTCTATGCCCAACTTGAGACAAAAAAAAAGAAGATACTGATTTTGAGAACATGAATGATCAGCTCTTTCTGAAGAGATCTGGTTTTTACACCTCTTTTGAAGGGTCAGATGATTAAAGTATGTCCTTGACCCCTGTTGAGAGAAGGCTATCAAGTGAGGAGTAGAAACTGGGGATGGGAGTTGCTAAATGTAAGTTTCAGCAAACCATTATGAGGTGATACAGTAACTTTAATTTTAAGGATCAAGTCCTCTTGAGCATTACAATGAAGACCCTGGGAGAGAAGAAGGTATGGTAGGAGGGACATTTGGCAGTTTGTGAGTGAAGGATGGGGGTAGTTTCTTGCAGTTGCTTCCATGACTGCCCAAGGGCAGAAAGAACCCACAAAACTGTTGGGAGTGGAGCAGTTGGAAAGGGCCGACTGATGAAGCCTGTTTGCAAGGCAACCGATACAGGTTTCATTCTACTTTAATCCTTGGGGAAAAAAACCACAGCATGTCTTCTCCCAGCAGAATTGAAAAGGGGAATATTGCCACTTGTCCTTCCTTAGATAGATCACTCTTTTGAAATGTAGTAGGATTGGCCACTTTGCACCTCCTTTAGTTTAGGAGAGTAAATTAGCTGTAAATCTTTTTCTTCCAGTTGTCACAGAATAAGTAGCTTTATATTTAACTTCAGTATGGTAAGCAGAATAGACTTTTGTAACCAGAAAAGATCTTATGACCTAGATGTGGATTTCTATTTCAGAAATTCATAAAAGTGACATTTTTATGAGACTGCCTCACTATATGTAATGACTGTAATCATCAAGACATTTTGCAAATGAATAGGTGCTGAAGTTTGTTTGACACTATTCAATAATGAAGGTCTAATCTTCTTGCCATGATACATAAATACTTTAATCTGGCTTTGTACAGAGCATGTATAAAATATACTCAGCCGCCAAGTTAAATGCTTGAAAATTGATGGCCCTGTCAGAGAGACTGCAGTGCTATAAGAAAACGAATTGGAAATAAATTTTCTTTTTTCCCTACTTCTCCTTAAAAAGTATGAGTTGTATTCTCATTTTGCTTTCAATATCTGCTGTTCTTGGCTCTGGAAAGCTTCTTCTGCAATGCTGTATGCAGCAATTGTTTCAAGAAATATGTGGACCAGTTAGAATAAGTGTTGAGCAGAGATACTGAAATGACCAGAGATCTATAAAATACAATCTATCGGGAAAGTCAGACTTGTGTATGCAGAGAAAGGACTGTGGAGGAACAGAAGTCTTCCAAGATGCAAAAGGCTGCTACAGAAAGGGAGTAAATAATTTGTTCCCTATGTCCCAGGTTGATGGTTAAGAAATAATACATTTGAATTGCAATAAGGAGTTTTCTGGTTAGATAGCACAGAAGGAATTCAGGCTTTTAATGACAAAATTCAGCTAGGAGTGAACTATTTATTTTGGTTCTACAGATTTACATGACTGGAAATTCTGTAATCCAGAGAGAACCTGTCAAAGATGTAGTTGATCTTGCCCTGGAGCTGTAAGGCGTGAAAAGGGAGAAAATGTTTAAAAATAATTTCTAATAAAGAGCGTACATTCTGTAAGATGTATATTTTACTGATGAAATATGAACTGTGTGTTCTTCCTTTTTCACTACTATATTACTATGGTTGATGTTACTTAATTAGAGCTAGTATTTCCTATTTTGCACTTGCTAAACTGTGTCAGACACTAATGACTTGCCTAAAACTTTGTGATGGATCTTTCATGTTTTTTCCTTAAGCATTAGTGAAAACTGTTCAGGTGTTCCCAAGCATGCGATGAAAGAAAAGTCTTACTACTTCTTCCTGTGTGTGGGTTTTTTGTTTGTTTGTTTGGGGTTTTTTTTGTTTTGTTTTAAAAATTCCAGTGCTGAACCCTGAAACTTTATCTGGAGTAGAGATTGTTACATACTGAGCAAGGTTGCTTCTCTGCTTCTCTGTTACCAAAGGCAACTGTCTCAAAAAAAGCCTGATTAAGCTGCAAGTTTCTCCCTTTACTTAGTAGGTTTTTTGTTGGGTTTTTTTTTTTGTTGTTGTTTTGTTTTGTTTTGTTTTTTTTAAACCAAGGTGCAGTCAGGTAAAGGGCTAGGTATGGTAGAAGGAAAGAATAGGTTATTATTTCAAAGAATGAAGCCTGGTTTGAGGAGGACAGAGAGGCTCTGATTAAGAGGAAGAAGAAGCTGGAAAAGGTCAAAATGGAGGGATGGAATATGATTTAAAAAAGAGACCGGATGATGAATTGGGAATTATAGCTGGGCAAAGGAAAGAGGAAGAGGAGCTCAGGGTTGGCACCTGGAAGAAGATTTCTGGGACAGAGAATGCAGCGGGAAGCTTGAAGAATGAGGAGAGAGGGGATCAGCACAGGAGCAGACTGGAGTGGGCTTGGACAAAAAGGGTCAGATTTCATGTGGGGGGTCCCAGTTGAAGAGAAATCTTTGCTCGTGGAGCACTCGCCCTGCCAGTCTGGTACAGAGTAGCCTACTCTCTTTGTGTTTTCCTGCTGCCAGATATCTGTACAATCCCACCAGGCAAACTTGCTTGGGTGACTGGGCTATGCTCATGTACTCGGTTTGGTCTGGTTTGTCCTAAGTTGCCTCCTGCTTAATTACAAGGCCCCTAACTCTAAGCAAGAACATTTCTTGCCTCAGCGGTGCACAGAATTAGAATTAGTCCGTCGCATCAAATCTCTTATGCATTTTTGGACTGGAGGCAAATTGTAGCTGACAGACTGTTTTGTAAGCAACTTCTGAGTTTGCGGCTCTGAGCCCAAAGCTCATCTGTATGTACATGTCCTCTCCTTTTATTCCTGGGAGCCACGTTCACTCATTTCAGCTCTGAAGGAGAGTTAGCTGCTGTCTTCCTTAAGTGGCGGGGGGCAGGTGTGCTCAGCAGGTAGTTGGTCATCTACCTAATCAGAGGCAGGGGGCTCTGGGCAGCTGGTAACCCTTCGTCAGCTGAGACCAGAGCTGCATGCACTGTCCTGCTCCTCTCTGCTGCTGGGGAAAATCCTGGCTTCAACTTACTGCCTCGCTGCTTGGTTGGAAAGGGGTCTCCCTGGAGCAACAGGGGGAGGAGAGCTGCATGCTAAGACTCTGGAAATCTCAGCGGTGTTAGCTGCTGCCTCACAGTCTGACACGTGTTTGATATCGGTGGTGGGGCAGCAGCCTTACTGGGATGAGGCTCGATTCTCAAGTGCCAGCTTAACTGAGAAGATGACATCCTGCTGCTGCTGGCTGCTGTGTTAGCTGAAGTGGCAAGGACCCTGTAATACTAATAGTTGCAGCTCTGCTAGTAAGCCATGTGGTCTACAGGGATCTGTGAGAAGGAATATGTTTTTTCAATTTGCTTTATTAAACTGACTGAGCACTTTATGTGTAAAAACTCTTTAACTGCAGAGTCGAGCATTCAGAAGTTAAATATCAAATTTAATTTGGCTGCATTGTGGGATGCAGTGAAAATAGTTTGAATTTTGGTTTTGCATGCTTACTTATCCAGAGGACCTGGTGCATCTTTCAAGACAGGAAGGACTGTGAGCTGGGGATTGGGGGTTTGAGTGGGAATGGCTCATGGATGCATGTGTGTGGCTCGTGTCCTGTTCTCTGCAGATGTTGCCAAGTCCATAACGAATGAGATAGAAGAAGTAGTTAGAAAAGATAGCATTGAGATAAGGCAGTTCGTGTGTGTTGTTTGGGCAGCCAGTTTCTGCCTTAAGCAGTTGGGGTTCTTTGAACTAAGTGAGAGGGGTGAAATGTATCCCAATAGCAAAGAATTATATGCGAGGATTATCGTGGCAAGGTGACTGCAGGTAAATAAAGGGCAAGAGAGTATTCGCTGAAAAGGTTTCATTTTCCCACTCTTCTGGATGTTGGAACTCTAACTAATGATCTTGAGTTTTATTTTTCAAAATATTGCACATGCATATAGCCTTGGAAATGAGAATTGTTGTTATTGCAGGGTGATGCAGGTTTAATACCTCGAATTTGTGAAGGATTATTCAGCAAAATAAGTGAAAAAACAAAGCGGAACGAGGCATCCTTTCGAACAGAAGTCAGGTAGGTCTTGGCATGTTGATAATTTGCTGGTTATCAAACTTGTTTCAGTTATGACCATCCTATTTCACTTATTATCTCTCAGAAAAGTGTTTTTCAAATAACTTTCCATGCTTGGCCTCAGTCCTATAATTGATTTTTGTTGGCAGTCGTAATCAAAATGTGTAATACTTCTAACTTCAATCCAACAGCTGTGCATTTTGCTTTACTTAAATGATAGTGAAAATGTCTCTGCTACTAGACAGCATCTTCCTTATTTTTACCCTTTATTTCAGGATGACATTAGGAGCTCTTGATCTTGCTAATGTCTGCTTCCTTTCTACTTCTTGTTTTTTTGGCTTTTTTCCTTACGATACTGTAGTCATTACTATCTTAAGCCAACTACGGATCCATTTGCTTCTCCAGCCATCTTGCTTTCAAACAGTGTTAACATGGCTTTCCTTTTTTTAAATACTCTTGAATCGATTCAGCAGTGTTCTGATCTTTTTTTCTTTCAGTTATCTGGAAATTTATAATGAGCGTGTGAGAGATCTTCTCAGACGGAAGTCATCAAAAACTAATAATTTACGAATACGAGAACATCCAAAAGAAGGGCCTTATGTTGAGGGTAAAACCACTTTCAGTGTTTTGCACTGGATATTTTACTACCTTTATGTATTTTAAAATGTCTAATTGAACAGGGCATTCTTATCTTTTAAAGTATAAAAGATGATGGATACAGTGCTTTCCTTTGATATAGAAGCATTAAAGGAGAATAGCCTCTCAGTTTGTATCCCCACTCACTTTCCCAATTCTAAGATTATTACACATATACAGTTTTTATCTGTAAATTTATAACACATTTTTAAATAATGTTAAGAGATGCAATTGGTTTTAAGAATTTGTTGACTATAATTTAGAAATCTTTAATGTTTAGATGGAAAGAACCTATTAGGATTTAATTGTCTTAATCCATCCTCTGCCAGGGAAGGTTCCTGTCTCTTGAGAGATTATGCTTATGCTATTGCACTAAATACTTCAGTAAGATTGCATATTTTTTCTTAATTTACTGTAAATCTATAAGTTCTCCATTGTTCACAAGGCCTCATTCCTTTCCTTAAGTGATAAACAAGTATGACAATAAACACTAATTGCAGCAATACTTTGCAGTGGTGAGGGTAATTTGAATCTTTTTGTAAAGAAAATCAAGTGCATGTATGAGCATACTGTAACACTGTGCTTTTCTTTAGATTTGTCTAAACATTTAGTGCAAAATTATACTGATGTAGAGGAACTTATGGACGCAGGAAATATAAATAGGACGACGGCTGCAACTGGAATGAATGATGTCAGTAGCAGGTCGCATGCCATTTTCACGATCAACTTCACTCAGGTAACAAACCTAAACCACCCACCTGTCTTAATATGTATTTACATTCAATAATTCATATGATAATTAAAAAAATAAGGTTGTCAAATAAGCAAGTACGGGTAGATAATGACTGTTGTTTTCTTGTGATAGGAAAAGTTCAAAGCGTGAAAAATATTTTGAGAGTTATTTATAAGTTTATCAGTGATTAGAATCTTTAAAATTTACAGTGTAAGGTGATTACTTAAAATGATATTGAATAGATTTTGAGCAGATAGTTATTGGGAGTTCAGGCTGAATAGCAATGTCCAGTGCTGGAGTGTTTCATTATGATGCTGTGACAGGAGGAGTGGGTGAGGAGTGTGTTGTGTGAGACTTCAGCCAGAGCTTAACATGGGCTACCCTTTATGCTCTGATGTTATCCAAGATTTACGAAAAAACCTGTCTCCATGGCCCAAGTCATAGAGTGTAGAAATGTTTTTCTGAGTGTTTTCTTGCTGACTTTTCATCTGTTACTATTGGAAACCTATTTATATTCCTTGATTTACTGATGGAGAGATTTAACACATTTTCTCAGAGCATAGTGATCTTGTTTTTTATATGTAGGAAACTCCTTTTCGAATGACTCCTGCTCTTCAACGTTGTTTTTAGGGGGCTTTTTAGACAGTCCGTGGATAACCTGCTAGATGAACAGAAGGTAGTGTAGAGGTGGTTTGCTTTCCTGACAGAACTTTGCATGTCTTCCCCCAGAACCACACACACACAAAATCCTGTGCGCAAGCTGTTCACTAACAATGAATTGCTCATTGCAAAGCTTCCAGAACAGGATGAGAGGCAGGCAGCAAAAGGTTTTGTTCTAGTGTTCTACTGTAAAAGTAGAAAGAAGTTTGAAGCAGGGCAATCTGAGTTGATTTAAATGAGTTAGGATAAAAATTGGGATGAAGCCTCAGTTAAAATCATAGAATAAAATTGCAATCGCTACTTACTTGAACTTGGAGGCGGGGGAGAAATTGAGTGTTAATGTTTCTGTGTATGCTATAACTTGTTGAAAGCTAAATATAAATATAAATGTTGAAAGCTTAATAAAATGAATGCAGCACATGTTCACTGTGCATTATGTAAGTACCAATTCACAGTTGTCAGTGCATGTGCATAAGTGGCTAGAAAGTTGTGAATATTACAATTTGAAGTAGTAAGTACTAGCGTGGGAGTTACGCAGCAATTCATGATCAAATGCCTTTCTGTGGCACCTCTAATACACCTGTCTTCTGAAGCTCTGCTGTTGTAAACAAGTTAAATTAAATCATGATATGAAAAAGGCCACCAAGTTGGATTCAGTAAAATTTCAGAACTTTGTAGCTTAACATACTTTTCTTTTTATTGGTGTTTTGTTTTGTTTTTTTTTTTTTTTGTAGGCTAAATTTGATTCTGAAATGCCTTGTGAAACTGTTAGCAAGATTCATTTGGTAGATCTTGCTGGAAGTGAGAGAGCAGATGCCACCGGTGCCACAGGGGTTAGATTAAAGGAAGGAGGGAATATTAACAAATCTCTAGTTACTCTGGGAAATGTAATTTCTGCCTTAGGTAAGTCTCTGGGTTTTGTGCTTGTCTGTTTTGGGTTTTTTTCTAGTCATTAAATACTTTTCTGTTTATTTACTTACACTTTTGTTCATTTTTACTTACACAAATAGTGGCCTTAATGCATACTAGTTTTGAAAATGAATGAAAATATGTAACTTTTCTTTTTTTTTCCTCCTACCTCCATATCACAGCTGACTTATCTCAGGATGCAATGACTCCTCTTTCAAAGAAGAAACAAGTATTTGTGCCTTACAGGGACTCTGTGTTAACTTGGCTGTTAAAAGATAGCCTAGGAGGAAACTCTAAAACTATAATGATTGCTAGTAAGTGTTTTTAAATTACTTTTTTGCATCCTGAACAGTTCAGTGCTTAATAGGAGTGGCTGTAAATATTTAGATTCCAGATGCTTTGTTAAGGCAGAACGTTGTTTACACATATTAATGATTCTTTCTGAGTTTTCTAGTAACACTCTGCCTTTACCTACCAGATCAGCTCATCTGACCAGTTAAACTTCAAGTAATAGTTCCTGTTTATTCTTGAGGTTTGTTTGCATTCCAGACAGCTGTTACTCATGGTAAATGCTCAAACCTGGACCTGGATAAAGTCTTGTACTTCCCTCCTCTTACATCTCTCCTCCCCAGGTTGCAGACTTTGATTCCCAGTAAAAAAAACCATTAAAAAAAAAAAAAATCCAGCTTTGTGCATCTGGTCAATACTGATGTGTGAATAAGTTTGCTCTTCCAGAACTGTGTTGTTTTTTGTTGCATTAGTACCAGAAGCAACCTGGTCTCTTTTGACATTCAGTGGGTAAGACTGTAATTTTTATTTAACCTACTTTTTGAATGCAGACAGCATTTTAACTTTTTGTCTAAACTTAATTATTTATAACCAGTCATCTTACAAACTTTTCTTACAGTTCCCTTTTTATTTGCATGAAGCTCTGTAAGGATCAATTGGTTTAAAAACCTAACTATGTCATATGTATTGCAGGTTTTTCAACAAATTGGAATGGGAATTCCATTCCCCAAAAAAGCCAAGTGAAGCTGGGAGGATGTTTAAGAGGAGGGGAGAATTTTGAATGTTGGGGATGTAAGGTGTGAAGAGAAGAGCAGCTCTGAAATTTCTCTCACTCTTCCTTGCTCAAATGAAATGCAGTCCAACTGATGCTGTCCTCTCTTGGGACTGGTGGGAGAGAAGAATCGAGGGAATAAAGTGCATTGGCTCAAATTCTAGTTCTTCAATTGCTTTGTTACAGCCACATTCTCTGGATAGCTGTTCTTTTGTTGCATGATTTTGTGGGTATTTTTGGAATCCATGCCACTTTCTTTCCTCAGGCTGGTCATAGTAGCACCAAAAGAGGATCTTGAATCAGACTCTGCATTGTTTTTCTGGCTGTTTAAGTAGCACTGTGCTGGCATCTTTCTTCGTGATGCTTTCTTTCAGTTACATGGCCGAGTAACTTGGTTGGGTTGTTGGGTTTTTTTTTTTTTTTTTTGGACAGAGGGATTGGGAAGACAAGTTTTAGAAACACAGTGAGCTTTCAGTGCCCATACTAATGATTACAGTGCCCAGCTGCTTTTTCAGCTGCTTTCTCATCTATTAACGATGCTTCTGCTAGGCAGAGCCCTGGTGGTTGATCTTTTCTCCAACAGTAACTCTACTGGTAATGTGGCTGAATTGCCTAACAGAGCCTGACAAGCTGTCCAGATACATTTTGCCTACCTTTTCTGTAACTAAACAAAAAAAAAAAGCAGGAAGATCATCTCAAACTGTAGGAAAGGCTTTTATAAATATACATCCAATTCTGGTTTGTCATATTTCTATAACATATTGTAACATCCTTCCAGAAAGAGAATAATTGAGTAGTGGAGAGGAGACAGTAGATAAAGTAGGGAAGTGATAATGTGAGCTAGGGGAAGTGTAGTCTGTTGCCAAGTGCATCTCCCCTAATTCAGGGAGTCTCTACACAAAAAGAATATTTATTACTGTTCAGAGAATGAGGAAGGGTGGAATGTCTTGGTTATGTGATCACTTTATCACGTGTTTTCATTTTCTAATTCTCTGGGTCTCTTGTTCAGTTTGATTATTAAGATTTCTGGTCCCTCGTCACTTCTGCATGGTGTTCTCTTCTGTGTTTTTGCTTATCTGTTTGGATGCAGTAATTATCTTTTTAATTTGGAACATCTTGTATATTGTTAGGAAACTTAAGTGACAGATAGCATTAACACTTTCATTTAGACACCATTATTTTTCCTGGTTAAGTTGCCTGTAAAAATAATACTGGTTTCTCTTGATGCATCAGATAGGTAACAGTTCTGTGTGCTGCCAGATGCCTGCAGCTCAGCAGAACAGCTAGGTTGGTAAATTATAGAAGCTCTTCCTTTGTTTTGGCTTTCATGTCTGCTTTTTGTTTGAATGCTGTTTAATTTCCCTTCAAAACTTGAACTGAATGTGCTGTGTTTTTACCTGAAATGACTTTTCCATTCAGTGATTACATTGATACTTAAAAAATACTCACCATTTTTCCTACTGTTCTTGCAAAAAATTTGCAGAAAGCCTGTAAAATATTCATGTGGGACATTTATGCTTACCAAAGAAATGTAAATGTTAAGTAGATCAACAGCAAGATTTCTTTACAACACTTGATTGTTGGACCTGATTATTCTAATATGCTATTCTAATACGATGTTTACTTAAGCAAAGTTACAGTGACATGAAAGCAGTGGAGCTAGGTGAAGAATTGGAACAAATTGTAGCCATACTGGTTAATCATATATTTCTGTCTCTTCATCCACGTTAAGTTTATCTATAAACTAACTTTACTAAATGAGACACATGGTGCTGGATAAACTGTTTCTGATTTCATCTCCTTAGCTATTTCACCTGCTGATGTCAATTATGGAGAAACTTTAAGTACACTTCGCTATGCAAATAGAGCCAAAAACATCATCAACAAGCCTACTATTAATGAGGATCCTAACGTCAAACTGATCCGTGAGCTGAGAGCCGAAATAGCCCGATTAAAAGCCCTGCTTGCTCAAGGGAATCAGGTTAGCTTTACTTGAAATTTATGTGTAATTTTCCTTGAGTTATAACATCTATTTCTAGAATGTAATGAGATAATTATCTTTCATTATATTGATTTGAGTAAACAAGCTCTATGAGGCTATGAATGAATATTATTTTCCTGATTGAATCAGTTTCCATTTGGCCAATAGATTACCTCTTTTAACATAAGGGGGGAAAAATTGTCATCCCAAAGCTTTTAGCTTTCTCTTAATATAATCAGGGCTTGATTGCAGTGTGCTGCGAAACAGGTGGTCACCCCAGCATAAGGAGACTGAGCAGTAACATATTTCCTCAGTCTAGCCTGATGGACTGAAGAGGTACTTCATTTAGTATCTTAAAAGAAGTAGAAGGTATAAAGTATTTAAGATGTGTATATATAAAAATGTAGGAGTATGGACGGGTTTGAACAACACATTTTATTTGTGTTTGACTGCACAGTACATTAGAAAGTGTGTAATGTGCTAAATATGTAAAAGTATTTTCGGTGGTGGTGTTAGAAAACGTGTCATGCTATATACTTCCCTTTTCGCACAATCCTTTCTTGTTCTTCTGTTAGTGTTAGCCACTATAAATATAGCTGCACAAGCTCAGTTAGGCTTAATTTCTCCTCTGTTTCCAGGATGGTGAAACCAAGCTAACAATAAGGAATATACAATTGGATCAGGCCAGTTGTTTCTTCTAAATAATGTCACTCAGGGCTGCTAGATTTCATACTTGAGCAAATACAACTTGGAAGTATCTGAAATGATGCTTTGGATTTATTTCTAGAACTATCTAATTTTATTTTAGATGGGCTGAGTTCAGCATAGACTTTTTTAACAGAAGGCTAGTACTTCAGTTACATTTCATGCTATAAAACATTTGCAGAAAAAGGGGATGGGACCGCAGTTGGAAGCAGAAATAGGTGTTGTAGATGATTGACACGGAGAGCTCTGCTTTGTTACAGACAATCAGAAAACTCTTTGTGGGGTTGAATTACTCTATTATACTGGTGTTTCTCCCATATTCTTTAGGACAGGAAAATTAATTTATTTTCAAAATATGGCTTGATTTAGAGTTAGCAAAGTAGATGTAACTTGGACCCCTTTGATGATCTGATGCTTTGACCTCATTCCAAGCTGTAAAACAGTGGATATCACAAAATAAATCTGGTTCTGTGGTAGGATGTGATAGATGGCTGTGTGGGAGACTATAGAGAACTTGCATAAGTTAATTGGATTTGTGATGGTTGGTAAAACAGCAGGTGGTGTTATGTATGCACAGTAGAATATAAATCTCTGTATAATTTCTTTTGTGGTTTTCCTTTATATTCCCAGAATACTATATTGCAAATGCTTCTGTAGATCACTGAAGGATACTGGTTATCAAAATACAGTGCTGGATTCAGTGTAGAAGGTCACATAACAATAAGGATTGCTTGTGTGTATGCGTGTTGTATAGTAGTTTTCCTTTTCTAAGGCCAGTCACCTTAATCTGTATTTACTAAAGATAAGCAATATACATCTGTATTATAGCAAAATGGTTAACTATTGAGGCATAATAAGTTTTCATGCTTAACAGAAATATAAAGATAGGTGTATCAGAAATTACCCGTTACAAGCTTGTGTCCAGTTTCAGTGTCTGCATGTGTGTGACCGTGTGTATACATAGTGAATGAAAATAGTACTCTCAGAGCCATGACTGTATTTGAAATACCTGCCTTGACAAGATTTTGATTACTCTGTTTACAGTATTTCAAGGTAAAATGAAATATTGGAACTTAAAATACTTAATCCTTGATAATCAAAAAAGTTGAACAATTGCATTTCTTTCATTTGATTCCTTCAGAAATTGTTACTTTTTTCTTTTTTTTTAACTTGATGACATTTACAATTTTAGATTGCGCTCCTGGATTCTCCAACAGCTTTAAGTATGGAAGAAAAGCTTCAGCAGAATGAAGCAAGGGTGAGTTATAATTTCATAAAACAATTTTTAAACAAAAAAAAATAAGGAAGGGGGGGGTCTAGATGCAAGTATGTTTGTATTTTCAGGATTTTTTTTTTATATACAACTACATTTTCTCCCACCAAGCAGCATTGTCTTGGTGTTTTTTAAAAAAAACCCAAAACAACCAAAAAACAACTAACAGTGTGTGAACTTGTAATTTTGTTATCCTGCAAGATAACATTATAACTAACAACAAAGTATATCTGATATTTATGTAACAGTTCTATTTAATGAAAACATTTGTTCCCAGCCCTGCTTGCCTTACTAAAGGAGTATATTGTAAATAGAATAGGGAGGAAAAAGCCACTAAATCAGAGTAATCGGTAACCAGTAATCATAGTAACAAAGTATTCAACGTGTGGAAAATACAGTAAAAGACTTACGGGGAAAATGGTCAACTCTTATATTTTCAAGTAATCAATAACTTGTCTTATGGGGTAGGTTTTCAGAAAATGTCAGTCTTTAAATCTGGTATGTACAAATATGTTCAGTGCCTAATTAGCTGTCTTTTTGGGGGAGGGTCTAAGATCTAGGTTTACTGTGCCTCGCACCAAGTTGTTTTAATAATTCAGCCCAGTGTAGAGGGTGGGAAAAATTCCCAGACGGTTTAGATATACTCATAGGGTCCAAAAGAATATAGGTATAATGCTACTCTCATTTCTCTAATTTGCAATCTTTCATTCTTTATTGTATCATTCTGTGTAATTGTTTTCTGAATATTTGCCTGTTTTTAATGGTACTGCAAACTGTTTTAAAAAATTACTGTTACTCAGACTTTGGAAGAGGAGAGAGGAAAGTATTTAGAATAATTCAGCTATGTGACAGCAAATATTTAGTTCTGAATATTGTCAACAAGATGCAATCAAATGTAGATATGATGTCTTCAAAAAATAGGAGCTTCTTAGCTGGTTTAAATTGTAAGGTTTACATGGTGCTGCTTAGACCTTTACAATTAGAGAATGAATGCATTGCTTGGAGAATCCTGTTTTGACCTAAATAATTGGTATGGTATCTGTCTGCGCTTTTCAGGATTCCCAGTGGTAATCCCAATTTTAAAGAAGTGTTGAAATACTTTTCAGTGAAATGATACTTTAAAAATAAACTTCATGACAAAAATGGACAAAATACGTGTATTAGTATGAACCATAGCTGCAAAGCAGACTCCGGGCTTCTCCTTAAGCCAAGTTTCTGCTAGGAACACATTTTACAACTCTGCAGTATATGCAGGAATCCTTACTGTGTTGTATTCAACGATTAAAGTAGGACCTGCATAACCACAGTGTGAGCCTTCAGCTGCAGATTTTTTTTTTTTTCATATTCATACTAGGGTTTAAATTTTTTTTTTAGCAGAATTGGAGATAATATTGTTAGTACGAGTAGTATGCTTTTATTTCTGTGCACAAACATGATGCTTTTATCTAAGAGTAGCTATGTAACATAAACTGCTGACTATATGCTAATTAGAGTATGTTATTCATGCTCTGACAGTAATCACCGCTTGTCCTCCTCAGAAGTGTTGCCCCCCCTCCGTGTGGGGAGTATATCCAGCATATTTTATTATCTTTTGTCAGCCTCATTAGAAGGTTATGTGATTACCATCCATGATAATTACAATAGACATAATTACTGAAAATTCTTAGTAGATATTGCAGTGGTTATAGCTTTTTTTATAATTGAATGAGTGCAATAATTAATTTGTTTATATAGATCTAAAGACTTTATCACCATATTTAAATTATCTGACAAATACATGGTAGCTTTCTTTAATGAGTTGATTTGTCCTTATATAAAAACAGTATTTAAATGATTTCTGAGGAATAGAAATTGTTCTGGTATGGTGAATAGACTTATGATGGACCTCCTTCATGTTTTTCTTTAATCTTTTCAATTATTTTTTGTTTTAACATTCTGATTAGCAGCACTAGGACTGATATGATGCATTGAAAGATGTATTTACTTTTCTCTGTTGAAATCTTGAGATACAGGTAGAGATGAAAGAAGCTTCTTTAGTTCCCATTGATTAATTTGCAGCTGATCTGCAAAGGCAGCTAGAATATGCTATATTAACAGAGCTGAATGATATTTTGAGGAATTGCATTGGTGATTTTTTTTTTTTTTTTACAGTAGTTTTATATGTAAAGTAATAAAGGGATATAGCTGGTTTTTTGGATGGGTTTTTTTTTTTTCAGCTTTCTGCAGTTGAAGTGAATTCAAATAATAAAAGATTGTGTATGTTTTTAAAACTCTATGTACTTAATTCCTGCACAGAAATCTGGTGATTTTAAAAACAAAAGTGTCTATTCTATTTAATGTGATTATGATTCCAAGTCAGCCAGAGCTTTCTAAAAAGTCTGAAAGGCTCTGAAATGAAAAGAACCTTTACTGGTATGGAAGTTATGCAAGTTAACTGATGAGATGGGCAACTGGATGAGTAGGAAAAGCAGGACAAACCCTAAGTGTTCATACCCAATGCACTCTCCCTGTCCGTAATGCCTTTGTAAGCAGCTTCTCACTTCTGTGCTGATTGCAGCCATGTGTCCAATTTCTAAGTTGCAGCAAGCTTTGCTCTGACTCTCTCCTGAAGGCTGCCTGTCTGCTTCTTCCTCTGCATGCCATCCTCTGCAATTTCTGGAGAGTATTTTGGACTGAACATGCCTACCTGTGCTGTAGGAAAGGAGCTGTTGCCTTGTTACAGCTATGGGATCAATCTGTGGTAGTAGAATTTGTAAGACTGATGAAACACTTTATGGTATTAATCCATTCCTTTGAAAATGCCTGCCGTTATTTGAAGTGGCTATCCCTGCCCTGTGTTTCATTCTATACTATAAATAAGAATCTTGTAATTTTCCTTTTTGAGAGAGAGAAATTGTAGGTATGGGCACTTATTGCAGGAGCAACAGTGCTCTTCTAAATTTTTAAGTATTAAACTTCACAAAGAATTGTGCAAATATTTAGTACTTCTCTGAGAAAGTGTTATCAAGGACTTTAGAGGAGATGTGATTTTTTTCCAATATTTGTTTTCTTTTATAGGTACAAGAACTGACCAAAGAGTGGACAAACAAGTGGAATGAAACCCAAGATATTCTGAAAGTAAGGAAAATAAGTAAATTTTGAACTTGGCATTTGAACTAGCCTTACATGTTTTCCTTCAAAAAAAGTTCCTGTTCTAAGTCACCTTCTTTGGCTTTTTTTTTTTTTTTTTAACACTACAATGTTTTCTCAGTCTTGTTTCGGCTTATTCCAAATAATTAATTTTTGAGAGGTTTTAAGAGTAAATATTCAGTGGTATTTCTGAATAATAAAAATGAGCACAACTCTTTCTCTTCTTCACCATAGTGACCTCAGTGCCGAACAGCTTATCTCTTACATATCTTTAAAATACCAAATATTTTTGTTGTGTTGCAAACAAAGAAAACCTTGGGCAAGCACAAGTGAATCCCTCATGCCCTTGCTGTTTGTGTTGTATCAAGACATAATTGCCTTTTGTGTTACATTGGGTATCTTAGTCAATGCGGTGTGTAGTGAATACAGATGTTTGCATTGGCCTTCAGATTGATGTTTTGGTCAGAAATGTCTTGTAAACTTGAAAAACAACTTACCTTCTTTGGCCTGCAGTTGAATCTCCTCCAGTAGGTCTTCATCAGACCAAACAGATTCATCTGACCTAACTGTGCTTTGGAGTGCCAAGCACAGAGATTTTTTTGCAACTGGTTCACGTAAGCTGGCCTGCATTGCACTCTTTATATGACTTCAGACTACTCTGGAGCACTTAAATCTGCACAGTGTTCTCTTGTGGTTTGTAGATTTAGTACAGATCCAAGAGGGCAACTTGGTGATTTCCATACTGTGTTTTTTCAGTGATGTAGACTGAGACTTTTGTGTTCTCTGCATATATCTTTGCTTTCCTGCTGTCCAGTTGTACTGGTAAGATTTTATGTTGGCATTTGGCTCGTCATTAAGCTGGTGGTCTGAGGTGGTAGTTTAATGGCTACTTTGATTCCATACACACATACAAGCACACACGTGCACATGCACACAGGCAGAGCAGTAATTCCCACAGTTTCTTTTCCATTATATAGACTAACATTTTTTTTGCCAAATGTTTTAATTATTCTGTTAAATAAAAACTTTGAAAACAAAGCTTTAGCTTTCATGACTTGCTGTATATGCTGAACTTAAACTTGTTTGGAGTGCAATTCAAGCAACCATGTAGAAATAATTTTTAAATTCTCCTTCTCACTTATCTGAAACTTGGTTTTCGTAGTTGATTTTTTTGCTGAGCATCACTTTTTGTTTCCTTTATTTCTTGCTTTTAAGTTCACCACAATGTATTTTATTTAAGTTCCAAATAAGTTGAATGGCTCCATGCTTAAAAATAAAAATAAAGCATAAATAGTATAGAGAACAGAGCAGGGTTGGTAACTGCCAAGCAGATGGTGTGACAGAATGGACTGTTTAATGTCTGTCCAGATACTGAACTGGGAATTACCACTTGCATATTCCTCAGAGATGTTTTGGGTCCAATTTTACATTATTTCTGTGTTATTTTTTTATTTTGAAGCATCAGTACATACATAGAAGTTCATCAATCCTCTCTTTACTCACGTCTGGATTGGGGAGTTCATTGTCACATGGAGAATTTATGAATTTTGGTCAATTGTGAAAGTGAATGTGGTGTAGCATATGGGAAGTTTTTAAAGCTTTCTGTTGGAAATGCACTGATTCTTGCACAGAAATTACAGAACTGTAGGTGTTAACTGTTTAGATGAACAATTCATATAAACAAAGGAAAGCTGCTGTAATTCTACTTCTCTGGTACTGAGCTTTTGTTAGTTTAATTAATGCAGCTTCTGTATTTTGTACTTTTATATGCTGATATTTTGAGTATGTGAACAGTGCTTATATTTCACTTTTGGGTTAAAGGCAGTTGATAACACTTTCATGGCCCTGAAAAACTGCAAATCTGCAAAAGATTTCTTCATTGTTCTGTTCTATTTTACACCGTTTTACTGAAGCTATCCATATTTTTATTCACTTCTTGTTTAACGATTCCTGAAATCACTGCCAGCATACGAGTGGAAAAGGGCTTTTTGGAAGTTTGCCAGCCTGCGTTGCTGCAAAGCAGGTTTTAAACTATAGAGAGCAGTGGTCTTGTAATGGACTCCCTATAAGTTCACCGGCTTTTCTTGTTTTGTTATTGATGTATGCCCTCTTGCATGCAGAGACATTGTTCACTTGTAAAACTAGAATGTCTCAACATCCTTTGAGAAATGAGACTGTCTTTGTATGTCCACTGTAGTCACAAGTGCAACTTTTTCTATACCATAATCCAGTAACTTTCAGGACTTTCTTCATTAAGGTACTGAAAACTTCATGTTTGTATTTGTGCTTAAAACCTGCTTCCCCTTGCCTCCCCTGGGCTTGCTGTCCTGAGATAGTTGCTGCCTTTCTGTTCCTGCCTTGCAGCGGGCTTGAAGACTTGAAAACCTTTTGCTTTTCAGTCCCTCACACCTTTTGCTCCAAATCTTTTAGGCAGTTGATTTTGAAAATTTACTTAAACAGCTACCTATTACCTATTCATACGTGCCTGCCAGATTCAAGTGCATCTGCTAGTAGCTGAATGGGATTTCCTACTCTATTATATGTATTGGTGCTTTTTCATACTAAGCTCTAAATATCAGAGTTTACGTAGTTTTGAATTGTTCTCACAGGGTTGTGGGAAAATCTGTTGGTGTTCAAATCTGAAATAATTGAAAGGATTTTGCATAAGCCTTGTAAAATACAGGAAGCCGTATTCATAGAGCGGGCTGGTGTCTTCTACTAGATCAACAAATATTGCTGGAAAAAGTTACCTAGCTTTTACTGAATACAGGGCTGTCATCAGGCCTGACAAAGTAGTAATGCATGCTGTTTTGCGGGGAAGATGTTCCTCAAACTTGTTCACCCTTGCCAGTTATTTTGAACCTTGTTTTAAGTTAGACCAGCAACATCTAAATGCTACCTTGAAAATAATTCATAGAGAATGGAAAATCCTATCCAGCTAGAAAATATTGAGGAAGAGAGAATACTGCGTGAAGGCAAGTTTTTGATAAAAAGTATTTGGCAGCTTAAAATTCAATTATTTCAGTTGGCACAGTGCCATGTGTGCCGTTGACACATTCATCCCGGTATTCTTCCTTATTTCTGCTTGTAGCTTTTATCCCCTTTGACATTTGTCTCTGTGTAGTTCACCTGAAATTATGGTTTTCTGTCACAGGGTGCATCTTTAGACTGAGTGTGTTGAACTATCCTATCTATAAAAGTTGTCAGTTCTGGATTTGGTGCAGAGTCTATGGCTGGATGCCGTTATCAGCTGTGGACATCTTGTGTAATCCTTCATATATGCTGTTGTCAGATTGGACGTGTCTTGGACTGGTGATGGTAGTATTGATAGTACGCTCTCTTTCTTTCATGCGTTCGGAAGAAGCCCTTTTGCAGGGTGACTGTCTGGGACCCTCTGGAGGCTTGAATTACTGTCAACTCACACCTAAAGCCCAAATCCTCCTGTTTTCCTTATGCAAAGATTAGGATGCTGTATACACCAAGGTTTTAAATTTGCTCTGACTCCCCATGAAGTATCCTTTACTGCATAGCATGGCAGCTTCTTGGTGTTGTTTATCTGTCTGAAGTGACACGTGTTGTTTCCAATGATGATGTTTGTTTTAATCCTTGACCTCCTCACCATAATATAGCATGGCACTCTGACCTTATTAACCTAGTATTACAATCTGTCCCTTTTTAATAAAAGGGAGGATATTTTAATGCTTAATAAACTTAATAAATATGTGGAATGATGCTTTAGCATTTGGGTAAAATACTGCATTGAAAACCAAAGTGATAGAGTTTGATTTGAAGCCCATAGGCTTTGGGTTATTTCCTCAAACGTTACCAGCTGTCAAAAGAATTGCACTTTACAAAACAGCATGGCTTGACATTGCTTCTCTATCTTCAGGTGTCTTGCAACCTCAGCACTTATTTAACTCTAGGATTTTGCTTTCATCTCACTCTCATTGAATCTTTCTATGGTTTTGTTTTGGCTCCCCCCCCCTTCTGTTAATTTTCTTCCATACACGTCTCCAAAAAGAAGAGGAGGAGGGAAGAAAAACTGTTTGCTCTTTTCCTTAGCTTTGTCCTTTTTGTATTGCTCTGTTAAAGATCAATCTCGGAGTCTGTAATTTCTCTGGATGCTTCCTAAGATGTTCGGGTAACCTATCCAACTTTCGATTTTTCTCTTTCTTTGAGACTTTAATTGGTACAAAACTTCTTTTGATGTGGCTGCTATATTTGACTGCATGTGTTGTCATTGTCCCAGAGATCTTTTTCTTTTACTGGCATCTTATTTTTGTCATCTTTTGTGCATGTTCCAATTTCTTTTTCTAACCTTTAGCAGCTTTTATATTCATCTTTTTAAAATGTGTACTCCTTTATATAATTCTCTGCTGTTTTTTCTTCCCAACTGTCTTTTAAATTTCTTCTTTTAAATTTCTTTTTCCTGTTTTACTGTTTATGTAGAAATGGGGTTTGACTTTTGCCACCTTTAATGTGTGTCATTTGTACCTAGTGTTAAGGTATTTAGATGCTTTTTTTTTTTTTTTTTTTTTTTTTTTTAGTTTTAAATATATTTAGAGTTAATGTTTATTGCATTATCCTGTTGTTTGATTCTAATCATGTCATTAGCTTTGTGTGGCAGAGCTCAACTGATGTCAAAGGATGCAGAGAGATCTGTCTTCACAGAGTCTATTAAAGGACAGGGTCTTTTGTGCGTGTGTGTGGGTCTAATTCTCATGATCAATAGTTTAACTAGTAGCTGCTTCAACTGGCTTTGTCCTGTTGGATTTAGTGACACAGGCTCACTTTCATCAATAATACTAATTCTGCTGCAGTACTTTACCACATGCTGTGTAAATATGTTATTGAACACTGTTGATTTGATCTTTTTTCTTTTTGGTGCCCTTCAGCCGAGTACTCGTTAATAGTACATTTTTGTGGCTTAACAATGGTTGTTCCTACTGGGGGAAGAAAACTATTGCTAGTACGTCTGTCTGCAAGCA